AATAATAATAATCCTTGCATTTGATATAACGCTTTTCACGTCAGGAGGACGTCCCAAAGCGCTGCACAGAACACACTGTAAAGTGAATTGACTGTATATTTGTGGGCGAACGCGGCAGCCAATTGCGCACAGCAATGTCCCACAAACAGTCATAGATTGAAAATGACCAATTTATTATTGATTTTGGTTTTGGAGGGATTATTATTAGCCGTGTGGAGTAAGGAAACTTGCCCAAGGTCTGGAATTGAACTCAGATCTCTCACTTGCAAAGCGAGTGCTCTAACCACTGAGCTACAGGACTCCACGGGAGGGAGCCAATGGAGCCTGGCAAGGATTGCATGATGGGGTTGTGGAGTTCAGTATGGATGAGGATTTTGAATTATTTGGATCTTATGATTTTATGGAGCTGGGAAGAAGGGCAAGGAGGGCATTGGAAAATTGAGTTGGGAGATGATGAATGCGTGGATAAGGGTTTCAGCTGTGTTTGGTGTCAGGTATGATTGGAAATGGGTAATGTTGCAGTGATGAAAGAAAGCGATCCTTTGGTGTATGAAGGACAGCTGAGAATCAAACCTGATGTGTCTCGGTTGCGCACAGGTTCAGTAAGTCTGAGGGATAAGTCGTAGAGGTAAAGGAAGTCGGAGCCACAAGTGAGAAGATTTTATCGGGAGTCGAGAAGGATGACTTCCGTCTCGTCAATGTTCAAAGCTGGATGAACACCAACTTTCATCCAGGCCTTAATGTTTGACAAGTAAGTAGACAAGAACATCGGAGATCTGGGATTATGGCTGGAGGAGGATAAATAGATTTGTACGTCATCTGTATACATGTGGAAGTTGACCCAATGTCTGCAGATGACATCACTGAGAGTGAACATGTAAATGAGAAAAAGAAGGGGGCCAAGGGTGGAGTCTTGTGTTATCCGTAGGTACCTGTGTAGGAGAAGAAACCTTTTTCAGAGATGAAGTGATTGTGGTGGGTCAAATAGGAGAGTGTGGTCCCACTGAGTTGGAAGAGGAAGGAGAGGCAGTCTTGGAGGATGGCATACTCGACTGTGGAAGGCAGCGGAGATGACAAGGAGGCAGAGGAAATCCTGGTCGGAGAGAGAGGACATCATTTGTGACTTTGAGGAGCGCTGTTTCGGTGCTATGAGCTGGGCAGAAAGCAGGCTAGAGGGGCTTGGGTTGGGAGTGGTATAAATGTCTAAACTTGGTAAATGCTTATAATCCTCCGCAATGTCGGTGCTCTCTGCCAAAAAAAAATTAAGAATTTGTGTCTGTGGCTGAACTTTTACACATTGTGGAATGGGAACATTCCATGCGAGTATGACTCAAACTGCAGAGTGTAATAATAATAATAACAGTGTAATGCTACTGTTATATTGTTAATATTGCTGTGATACCAGGTCACTTTCACAACAATGTGCACGGTTATGCTGTTTGCTCACACAAAAGAGCCTCACACTACTTAAAAGATGTTTAAAATGCACGTAAGCAGAACACATTATGAATGTGATATCCATGTGCTCAGGGCATCCTGATGATTACTGTACTGTAGTCCTAATAATGTGTATTGGCCCATTGCCTCTAATATGTGGATGTTTCATTCTTGTATTAACCGATCGTGAATTTTCACTAAACTGTTACCCTCATCACTTGTTGGCTTCCATTTGATGATCAGAATGCTATGACTTTTCTGGTTAACCCAACTGTGAATTTGCACAAATTCATAGCATGATTGCTTTGGCCAACCCTGGCTAAGAATGGGTATCACCTTTAAAAGTTAGGTATTATTAGCTTTACTTTAATGGTTAGTTTTGGTGGGGGACAAAATTAATTTGCTTGAAGATATGAAATTAATATTATTCTTGGTCTGTCTGTCAGGAAACGTGCTTGAGGTCTCCTAGAAAATAATTGTTCTGTTTTTTACTTTCCTCTCCTCCAATTCCACCCCTCCCACCCAAAAAAGACTGAGTCATTCATTTTTTTTATCAGCCGGGTATCTGACACATACATTAGAATACATTAGAATATACAGCACAGAAACAGGCTCTTCAGCCCAACTGGTCTATGCCGGTGTTTATGCTCCACATGAGCCGCTTCCTGCCCTTCCTCAACTAAGCCTTGAAGCATAACCTTCTATTCCTTTCTCCCTCATGTACCTATCTAGCTTTCCCTTAAATACTTCTATGATATTTGCCTCAACAACTCCTTGTGGTAGCACGTTTCACGTTCCCACTACTCTCTGTGTGAAGACATTTCTTCTAACTTCACTATTTGATCTATTTGTGACTATTTTATATTGATGGCCCCTGGTTTTGGTCTCCCCCACAAGTGGAAACATCTTCCCTATGTCTACCCTATCAAAACCTTTCATAATTTTAAAGACCTCTATCAGGTCACCCTTACCCTCCTCTTTTCAAGAGAAAAGAGTCCAAGTATGTTCAGCCTTTCCTGATAGGTGTAACCTCTCAGTTCTGGGATCATCCTTGTGAATCTCCTTTGCACCCTCTCCAGTGCCTCTACATCCCTTCTATAATATGGAGACCAAAACTGCACACAGTATTCTAAGTGTGGTCTAACCAACGTTCTATAGACGTTTACCATAACTTCCCTACATGGGGAAACCCATGGGGAAACTGATTGCCGTGCTTGAGAGTATCCAATCTGAGAATTCCATGCATCCCACCTATACATTTGAATTCCGGAGATAGATTTTTGGAGTGGAATGCTCACTCTCTCCCTAGAGGGACGCATCCTGCTTACCTAATTCCGGAAAATATTAGGCACAGGTTGGCAAGAACCAAGGCTTGGGGACCATAGTGTATGCATTGGGGTATTGCTGGAGTCTAACCAACTAAAACCACATAGCTTGTCATTGATATCACTGTCTGGCAAGCTTTCCCGCTACTTGTCCGTTGGGGCTGTGGCTTGCAGGGTTAATAGCAGTTGAGTGGGATGATTCCCTGTCCTTCCAGCTCCAGCCGATGATCCAGGCTGGCTGTGCTGTCATGAGCAGTGCACTGGAATACTCCGGACCAGCCTGGCTCAGGAACCAGACGTAACAAAACCATTAGTTATAAAACCTTTAGAAAATGACTTGAGACAAGATCAAATGAAGGATGGAATTGAAGCAGGGGTTTATGATAAGTCTCCAACTCTTATCATTAATAAAACTTCAAAGCTTTTACTTTGCTAGTGAATTGTCCAACATGTTGGTAGAAAAATAACCCCACCAGAATTAATGTAGGGTGGTGGAAGAAGGTAGGATAGGTATTAGGGAAAGATGAGATCGAATGGGCCAAAGGGCCTTCTTCATCCAAAGCAATCTTGTATAACCATGGATGAGGATTTCAGCATTGCGAGTGAAGTAAGGGTGCAAGTTCGCAACATTTTTGTACGGAAAAGGATTTTCCTAGCAATTATTCAGCCATCGGATTTGAAATTTACTTCTAGGTTGAATTATATGCCAATATTGCATGCTACTCGGTTCATCCTGAACAAGCAACCAAAGAGATTAATGAACTGAAGCAGAAGCCTGTTGGTGTTGGAGAGAATTAGACAAGATGATGTTTGGGTAGTTTCAACAGGGCTTGAGGGGGAAAATATAAATGAATGCTTTGGACTGCCTGCAAGTTAGTTTTGGCTCTGCTGACTGATCTCTGAGAGGAAGGTGGACTCATCTGGAGACAAAAGAATCTGTCTGTGGTGTGGTGCTCTGGAGTGTCGATTAAGGAAAGCCTGGGATATCCGTCAAGGCTGAGTCTTAAAGAAATTGCAACAGGAAAACCTTTAAAAGAAGCAATCAGATGGTGACAGCTAACTGCTGTCGTATGGTAAGGGATGTGTTAAGATGTTGCAGGGATATTTGTATTTTTAGAAATAGTGTAAGTTGTTGGGTTTGTTGAGTTATAGACATTTTCTTGTGAGGTGGAATTGAACTGAACTATTTTCTCAACTCTGCTCTCTGATCATTCAGCTATGCATTTACCATGTCCCCCAAATACTGTTTTTATTGCCATAACTACCTTTTTGACTACACTTTTGGTTATCTTTCCCCAACCTACTTCCATTTCCAGCTCAGGACCCAAGCCCCGGATGTCCACCTGATGTGAAAGGCACTGTATAAATGTAATCTTGTTTTATATAATAACTTGCAGAGAGAGTACAATTTCACCAGGCTTGATGATTGACCTTCCCCTAAAATTCCAATTTTTTTCACAACTGTATTTTAGAGTAGAAACGACAAGCATATATTTCCAGGGCAGGACCCTTGACTTATTTCTGTAGCCTTTATTCTGTTGAAAATCCTCTTGAATATAGCAAGACTCTTATGTATAATGCTGAACATTTTCAGGAACGTGCGAGCTACTGGCACACAATGTGCTTGCCGTTCTTGTAATGAAATAATGTTGAACAATTTGCCAAACTAAGTTTCACACTGCAAAAAAAATTCATCTATAAACCTTTAAAGACTGTTCATTTCCGGTTTGAAGGTAGGGCATATCTTCCAACGCAGCATCGCACAGGTTAGAAAATAAACAATTTTCACTCCAAGTCAAATATGAGGTTGATGTACACGAATCTCTCCATGGTATCATTTCTATTTCAGTTTTGGATCAATTGGTATTTGCAGGAGTACTTTTTAATCTGGCCTTGAAGATTGATCCGGTCTGGTGTGGACAATTCAAACGGTGTACTAGCAAAGCTTAGTTTAAATCTGTTAATGAGAACATTTTCCAAATGCTTCCGACCGCTTCAAATCGTGGGTAAGTATATCATTTAAGCCGGCACCTTGAAGGTTGTTTATAAATGCCTCTCACCCCAAAACCCACACAGACACACACACATCTCCTGCATGATATTAGAGCTTTCTGTTTTAGTTGCAGTGACCTAGCATGACACTGCTAGGCAACAGGGAGAAGTTTCTGTCTGGGTAGATTGCCAATCAAAGGCAGCAGCATTCCACCAATCAGCTATGTGCTCCGCCAGAAAGCCAGAGCTGACGGATGAGCTCTCTCAGTCAGCTGATAGGAAACCAAGTGAAAGCTGTAACCGGCAAGAACAAGGCAGTGTATGTGAACATTTTCATTGTGCTAAGAAAGGGCGAGAATACCAGATAATGCTGCTCAAGGTCTGCCTGAATGTACAACCAGCCGCTATGTATTTAAGCAACATTAGACGGGCTTGTGTTACCCTCCTGGTGTGTGCTGTGTAGTACAGTTTTCCCCTGGACTAGATCTTTCTATAGAAAAGTTAACTGGGTGAGTACTGCAGGATTAAGGTGTCTAATGTTGTCCTTGGGGAGAAGTACAGGGTAATTGGAGAAGCACTGGGTAATTGGTGTGCACAATGTCTGACACACACACACGCCAGTTGGTAAGAATTTTACCAAATCTGATTTTAAGTTACTGTGGCTTCTGAAACCTGAAACAGTTTGTGCATTTACAAGCAGCAGTGTCTATAAGATTGTGTGAATCGTGTTTTTAAATGGTGAATACTTGCTGAATACCTCTTTCTCCCCCACCCCCGACTAAAAACTCCCTTTTTTTTCCTTTGTGAGATGTGAAATGACTGTGTCACTCATGGATTTAGTGGTATTAAGGACCAGGGTGATTCGGTGAAATCCTGTCTAGGTGTGAATGCTGGTGAAATATTAGAGTTTGTACATTTGGCGATTCCTGGATGACCAAATACAGTACTAGGCCTTTCCGAGTGATGGGCTATCAGGTAAATTAACCCTTCTTTGTCTCCCTGCTGCAGCTTTGATTAAACGTTAAGACAAACTCTTTGTGTTACTGAAATACTGTATTCGCCTCAAATGATCTCATTCTGACTAATCACTGGATACAAATAAAAGTTGGAAAATGCTGGTTCGGTTTTCTTTTGTCTGAAACCTGCAGGAAGTGCATTCTAACTGCACAATTATTCACATAATTTGGTGTGAAGAAATTCTACGAGGGCATCTTTCTGAGATGGGATTTGATCTTTTTGATGTGGGATTTTGCATGATTTTACAATCTATCTGAGAGTTTCGACAATTACCTAGGATTACAAATGACTATCTTCGTGAAAGGACTGCAATGAAAAGATTATCTCTGGCGGAGGGGGAATTAACCAAATTGGTGCTATTTTAAAAAAATGGTCTCCAGTACTTTGTTAATTAACATTTGAACTTACAGTTTGTGAGAAGCAAAAAGCAATTGTTCTCAGTTAACCCCAGTTATTTCCACCATTTCCTTGCATTTAGAAAACTTGTGCTTCTATTTTTCAGTTGTTGACTCTATATAGGGTAATGAAAACCCAAGAAGATATTTCAAGGCAATAACGAGTCGAGGACATTCGCTGACATCTTAAACCACTGGAGTGAATCCTATGGCTTATCTGTTTCCTCTCGACCTCTCATACCTCTCGGTAACATGGAGAAGTACTAACAAAGCTGAGAGTACAAAGAAATTTCTTTTGCATTGTGACTTGAATCATCTGAGTGCTGTAAAGCCCCCCCCCCTACACACACACACCCAGTTTCATAGCCTTTTCTCCTCTTCCCTTCTTAAGGCATTGATATGATAGGGTATGGGTTGATGGGATGCTCCTGTCCCTCATCTTGTTTCAGTGACCTTTATTCATTGGCACAGAATTCAACCATCATCCAATTGTATGCTCATCTGATTTTCACTTCCCACTGTATGGTGAATAAGAGAAGGAAAACTGGCTGTGTTTCTTTTGCCCCTCCAAGATTCCATTATTTGGGAGGAGGGGCTGAGAGTCATTTTAATGGCCCATTGCTTCCTTGATTGGAAGCAATCTCAACACAAACCAAAGCTCCTGGTCTTTATTGGATCAGTCTCGCTCCATGCAGCACAACAAACAATTTCCAGAATGTAAGGATGTTTTATCATCTCTATTCTTAATGACATGAAATACGGTTAGATTTACGATCGGTTATTAATTATCTTTACATTTGGTGTAGTTTCACATCAGACCATCCCAAAGTGCTTCACCTAATGCAAAGTGGAGTGACTGTGTACAATATATTAAAAAGGCTTCTTTTGTTGACCTTTCTTAGGAAATTATTCATTGCTAATTGCAGCTAACTTAATAATCCTTGCATTTCATATAGAGCCTTATCACGCTTTGAGACGCCTCAAAGCGTTTCACAGGATATACTGTCAAGTAGCTTTGACTGCGTGTTTTGTGGTCAAAATTGCAGGAAAGAATTTGTTACTCAGTGTTTAATTACTTGGACGCAATTCATACTGCAATTTTATTCTAGCAGCACTGGTCATTCACACTCGCTTGGCTCAGTTGGGTTCTCAGCCAGGCAGCTGAAGAGAATGCTTTTCATGTAGTGTTCTTATCTGGGGGGGTGGGCATGGGTGTTGGAGGCTGAGGTAATTGGATTTGCACAGCCTGAATCAAACATTGTGCTTCCCAAGAATCAGTGTGTGGTGTCAACTGCAGTGATGTACCAGATGAAACTCTCAGGCCTAGGAGTGTGTAGGGTAATGTGTGGGCTGTAGGTGAGAAAATCACTTATTGTGGGAGGGAAGTAAAATAGGTTAGTTGCAAGTTATTTAAACCTCTTGTAGTTTTGCTTTGCATAGTTAGTATTTCTTGCGTCTCGCACTTTTTTATGCATTTGAAGTATTTTATGCAGCTTTTTTTCAAAAAAGTCTAACAGTATACTATAACCTGGCCTAGGCTGATGTGAACTTGCAGTGCTCCATTACCTGGAGGCACAGAGCACTGGCAAAAGGGATAATCAAAGAGTTCAGCTTCTCAAGTCTAAAAGTGATTTTCTTTTGTTTGCTATGGTGCATCATAGGCCTTGTGTCTACTCCAGAATAGTTCTGAATACCTTGTAGTTCCTGTTATAGCAGAGCCAACGTAATTCTTCCCCTTCTTCATTCCCTTTCTACAGTGAGGCAAGAAAAACCTTCTCGGTTTGTCATCTGATTAGATGAGTCAAGATCTGTAAATACTTGAAACCATTAACATTTGTTTGCGGTTTATTCTCTTTCTATCCGATATCTACGTGGATCTCGATGATGATATTCTGGCATAGGGTAATCTCTTCTTTCAAACATGTTCTAAGAACACAAAAGGTTTGTTTCAGTAATGCCTTGTCTGATTTTTATGTCAGCTGCTGGTATGTTTCCAAAGCATACAACAGCCGGACTATAATGCATCAGCTATAAAATGTTAGGAGGTGCATGTTTTTAAAAGAGCAGCTTGTAGTTAACGGGAGATAACAAACAGAAGTAAAGTTATAAAACGGAGGAAAACCTGTTCCACTGTCTCGAGTTTTGTATGATTAAAGCATTTAATTTGTGGTCTTAAACGGGTGTGGGGGGGCTTGCTATTTTGAATGTCTCCTGAGCTGTGAGCAAATAGATTCTGCTCTGTGTTTCAGTCTGAAATGAACAATTGTGCCTTCTCAGCGTGAGAGCAGGTCACTGGCAGGTTTTTTTTACACAAAAAAAGCTTTACCATTCTGACTGCTTTAAAACTGCAGTACAATATGGTAACGAATTCAGCAACTGAAAACTCTCCAGCTGCAGTATTCTTACTTTTTTTTCTTTCGTTGGGGCTGCTTAGAATTTCAATATGGTTGAAGGAGGGTGAATAAGTGTGCAAGTCGTGTCCATTTACAAAAACATTGTAGTATTTAATTCTTTGCTCAAATTTACAGTGCCTTTCATGTGGTGGAATGGGAGCCCAAGCAGAGAAGGTAATAGGGGTAAAATAATAATAATAATCCTTGCATTTGATATAGCGCCTTATCATGTCTTCTAGACGTCTCAAAGAGCTTCACAGAATAGACTGTAAAGTGAATTGATTGTAGTTTTGTGGGTGAAACACGGCAGCCAATTGCGCACAGCAGTGTCCCACAAACAGTCGTGGATTGAAATGACCAATTTATTATTGTGGTTTTTTTTGAGGGATTATTATCAGGCATGTGGAGTAAGGAAACTTGCCCAAGGTTTCGCCCTGCCGGGAATCGAACCCAGGTCTCTCGTTTGCAAAGCGAGTGCTTTAACCATTGAGCTACAGGGTATAGGAGGAAGGTGGGGATGAAGACCAAAGGCAGTAAGAGAGGTTTTTAGAAGGGTATTGAAAGCGTGGAGGGCAGGAATTCAAGGTGGAAGGAATTGGAGGGAGAGAGAGGTTCAAACAACCAGGGCAAAGTAGCATGCTGAAAGCTTGCATGCTGGTGGTGGGGCAGGGGAGATAGACTGGGCTTTTGTTAGTAGAGGGGAGAAAGTGGGTGGGAAAGGAGGAGCACTGTAGCAAATCAGAGGTAAAGTAACATAACATGTAGGAGCAAGAGCATGAAAGCATTTGGAAATTACACTGAGGATCTTAAATTCAATCCAGGAGACAACTGGAGTCAACTGAGCTTGGCAGGGCTGGGGATGAGGGGCTTATGGGGCTGAGTATGGAAGATATGGGGTGTTAATATTGGTCTGGATAATGTTTTAGGAGGGTTTAGCTGGGAAGCTTTATGAGAGGGTATTGGAGAGATGAGTCTAGAGGAGAAGGTATGGTTAGCTTTTCGACTGCATCAACGACCACTTGCATTTATATAGGGCCGTTATGACGCCGAGGAGGAGGGAGGTCACTGTTGGCACTATCGAAAAGAAAGGTCTTCAGGCATGATCTGATAAATAGGGAAAGAGGGGGCAAGGCGGAGGGATTGAGGGAGAGAGTTCCAGAGATTCGGAGCGAAGTGATAGAAAGCATTTAGGTTGAGGTAGGGACTGAGGCAATTAATGCTTTGACGGAGGAAGTGGACATGGTGAAGAACTAGTTGAAAAGCTTGAAGGAGAGTGGAAGGTCAAACAAAACACCAAACAAAATGTGAGGAACTATGGAAAAATTATATTGCACTTGCTCTTGAGTATTTTTGTATTATTTATACCAGACATAAGCTCAGTGAAATATATTGGTCTTACAAGTCAAATGAGTTGACATGACCCATTGGGATCAGTGGTTGTGAGTGTTAGCAGGTTATTGATTTGAATTTATTTTTCCTTTGCATAAATATGACTATGACAGTGGAAATATTGAACAAAGAATTCATCTCAATGTCAGGAAGCAGTTTGTCTCAAATACATGGGTTCTCTGGCATCACTTGGCAAACAATTTTGCAGCGTTGCAACATTCTATCTTCTTCCATTAGGTTCACTCTGAACACTTTCTGATTTTAATGCTCTTTAATTACACACAAGATTGTGCAGGACAGTAGTTTTAAATGCTCTCTTTTCATGGCTAGGATCTGGAATCGCATCAAGCCTGAACTACACTGGGATCAGTCAGTCTTCTTTCTTTCCTCTTGATATATTTCCCTGCAACTTATGTTTTGGCAGTCAGAGGGATACCAGTCCACAACACAAATGCACGTATTTTTTGGCAACCTGACACCAGCTGTAACAATGACTGAGGCAGGAAATGCAACTGTTGCATCAATGCAGTTAAAGTGTTATTCTGTTGTAGAAGTTGAGGCATTTTGTTGGCATAGCTGAGGGATATTTGCTCAGCATCTGGCCACGACACACTTTGGGTCAGGAAATATTTGATACTAACACTGGTTAGCCACAGTAGTTTTTTTTTGGGGGGGTGGGGGGGTGTGGATGGGTCAGCCAGGTGTCTGTCACAGGCGGAAACCTATTGCCACACTTAAGACTATGCAAACCAAACAGAATTCCATGCGTTCCACCCAGCCACAATACCTTGTGTCCCTTCCCATCAGCAAACGTGTATCCAAAACTGAGGGCTAAGAAGTTGTTTCACTTTGTAAATATCTTCTCTTGTAATCCAAAGTAGAGTTCCAGATTTTTTTAAAAAAATGTATGGGGGCAGGGGGATGGAATGTGCCTGTCAATTTTCTTTTTGGCTCAATGATATTTGTCTTTGGAAATACAGTTTGGCGTGTCATTGAAACTGGTTAATATCGTACTGAACTAAATTTCTTGAATTTGCCTGCTGTGACCTCATGAGCTATGGAAGTAATGTGAAATGCAATTTCTATTTGGCCACACTATTTGGCCTAAGTGTGTCTCTGATCTGCTCACCCCATCTGCTCAGCTAACACAGACATGTCGCCTGTTTCCTCTATGCCGCTATCGGTAGTTGAGCCTTCAGTCAGTATGCTCCTTGTGTCCCTCCACCTCACTTTCTCTCTGTCTTTAAGTCCTACCTTAAAGTTACCACTTCAACCATGCCACTGTTCTTCTTCCTCTCCTCCTCCGTTGGACATCTAACCCTGCTGTTGTAAAGCACTCTGAGACGTTATCCTATGTGAAGGACACATTATAAATGCAAGTTATTGCTTCGTCCACAAAACATACAGTCATTTCACTTTACTGTGAAGTGCTTTGAGACATCTCAACAACACAATAAGGTGTTATTATTTGTTAATGAACCTCACTTCAGTCTCTTGAGGAGGAACATTCTGCAAAGTTTTCTCATCACTCAGCCCCTAAAATAAATCAAGCAAAACTCCAAAGCATTTTTGAAACCCAACTATGTATATTTAGTTGCTTTTAGTTCCTAAGAGCACAAGAACCATTTTACAATCTATGGAGTATTTGATAAGTGATGACTAACACAGGCTGAACTTAAGTAGCTGACTCTATTAAGTTTGGATGAATACTTAAGTACCTCAGAGGATTATGTTTAGATCTTTGCCCTGGTCCCCAGATATTTGCATCCTTTCACTCCAACCCAAACTATGAATGATTTGCAGTCAGTACGGTCCAATCTTCTGACTGATGCATTGCTCACTCTTGACTCTCTTTGCTCCACAAACAATTTGCTAAGCCATACGCCTCCCTGTCCATTGCAACCTCTCGTCCAAAAACACTTTGGTTCAATTCACTTTATAGTCTATTCTGTGAAGCATTTTGAGACTATGGAAGACGTGATAAGGCACTATACAAATGTAATCTTGTTGTTGTATATCAAATGCAAGGATTATTATTATTTATTATTATTACCTCTTGCTTTGCCTCCAAAAAAAACTTCTACAAACCTCCTTTGAATCCTTCCATCTTTTATTTCAGGGATTGTTCTCCTTAGAGCAGAGAAGGTTAAGGGGAGATTTAATAGAGGAGTTCAAAATTATGAGGGGTTTTGATGGAGGATATAGGGAGAAACTATTTCCATTAGCAGGTGGATTGATAATCATAGAATCGTACAGCACAAATAGAGGCCATTCGGCCCATCGAGTTTGTGCCGGCTCTTTGAATAGAGCAATTCATGTCAATCCCACTCCCCAGCCCTTTCCCCATAACCCTGCAAACCCATCCTCCTCAAATACCCGTCCACCACGTTTTTAAAAGTAGTTATCGAATCGGCCTCGACCACCCTTTCAGGCAATGTGTTCCAGATTCGAACAACTCGCTCCGTGAACAAATTTCTTCTCACCTCCCCTCTGCTTCTTTTAGAGACTATTTTGAATCTGTGACCTCAAGTCACAGACACACCCATCAGTGGAAACAGTTTTTCCCTTTCTAACCTATCAAATCCCCTCATGATATTGAAGACCTCTATTAGGTCTCCTCGTAACCTTCTCTGCTCCAATGAGAATAATCCTAACGTCTCTAACCTTTCCTCATAATCAAAGTCCCTCATTCCTGGTACCATCCTCGTAAATCTCCTCTTCACCCTTTCCAATGCCTTAACATCCTTCTTGTAGTGTGGTGCCCAGAACTGGGCACAGTATTCTAACTGAGACCTAACCAGTGTTTTATACAGGTTAATCATAACCTCCTGACTCTTGTACTCTATGCCCCAGGGCGTATAGATTTTAGATAATTGGCCAAAGAACCAGAGGGAAGTTGAGGGAAACTTTTTTTACACTAGGAGTTGTTACGGTCTGGAATGCCCTGCCTGAAAGGGTGGTGGAAACAGTTTCAATAACAACTTTCAAAAGGGAATTAGATAGGTCCTTGAAAAGGAATAATTTGCAGGGGTATGGCAAAAGAGCAGGGGAATGGGACTGATTGGGTAGCTCTTCCAAAGAGCAGGTACAATGGCTGAATGGCCTCCTTCTGTGCTGTTATATTCTATGATTTCCTTGCTCGGTGCATATTGTTACATTTGTCAAGTGCTGTAGACATTCCTTTAGATTAAAAATTGAAAAATGTTCCATTTAAAAATACGATTTGTGTTGACTACAATTTGATAAAGCAGGGATATTTCACAGGGAAGCACGTCATGCTGCATAAGAAGTTTGCATTTTCCATTGAACGCTTAAAAGGTTTAACATGTGCTGCTGTTTTGCTAAACCTGCATTCAACCATGTACTTGCCTGTTTACCTTTCTAATCTTCACAGTAATTATGTTTTTAATGCGTTACTTCGACTCATTCTTTTTCAGCAAATAAGTAACCGAATCAAACATTCGGTTTTATAGCTTATCTTTACAGCACTTATTGAAGCAGGTGCTTGCTGGAGCAAAAACCCTAACAGAACAGGACTTGCATGGACTATTGAGAATGCTTGATGGGCCATTTGCCTTTTTCAACATAATACTTGTGTTCTGAATCATTTGAAATTACGATGCAAATAAAAATGTGTTGCTGAACATTCACTTAATGCTATGATTAGGAGTGAACAAAGATTCTTAATCCCATTTCAAACCATTCTTGGTCTAACGCTTTTAGGTTGAGGCTATTGGATCTGCCAGGAGCTTGCCACAGGTAACTCTTCAATGTTGGCATCACTATTTTGAGTAAACATATTTGCCCAAAATAATCAAGAGTGGTACCAATTTCTGCTCTTGAATCTGTCAATTCCTTTAACTTTTGGAGTGCTAATATTTGAGGAAAAGGAGTGGTGCTGTTTAAAATAAATAGGTATATAAATAAGTGTCTTATGGCTTAAAGATACTTTTACGAGGCAAAATTAGATTTCTGCTTCCATTCCATCCATCCCAGAAGGACACTTAACCTCCCATGTTGGGAGAGACAGTCGCTCTGTGGGATGGAAAAATCGCATCATTTATTAAACAAAAATCAGGTGGTACATTACACTTGCATTTAAACAGAAGATTTTAATTTCCAAATGGATAATATCCAACCTTTAACCCTCTGATTTTCTTTTAACATGTTGACAAAAGACTGTGACGTCAGCAAGATTAGTGAAAAAATATTTTCTTTGTCGACAGGTTCTGATGATGCAACGCCTTGATTATAATGAAGATTACTTTTCTGGAAAATCCTCATCATTCTGACGGCTTTGTTTCACAGAGGTTAGTCAAAGGTCGCTATTGCAAACTGCCTGATGTACAAAAGCATGGGGTTTATCAAGTAGTATAGTACTGAAACAGGTTAGTGCTCTCAGTGCTCCTCTGAGCCCTATTTTACTAAATCAGTGGGGCCTCGTTAGAATTCAGTTTGATCAAAAAAATCTCACCCCACACTATAGTGAGATGCACGACCTGGTTTCATTGTAATGCGTAAAGCCTGCAGGTTCATAAACTGCGCCAGTTCCCACAATGAAAGAAAAGATGGCTAACATCCAGATCATTGAATCACCGTCAGTGTCATTTACTGTTTGCTGTTCTTGCGCAAAAGCAGGAAGTGATGTCGGTGCTGACCTGATGACCGACTGCAAAGTTGTCCAATGTATCGTGAAAACCAGTGGGTGCAAGTATCGGCCAGCTGCACACATGAGCAGTGAGTAGAGTCCACAGTACAATCATATTATAGCCATTTGTGCTGCAATGAAGCACTCTAGGAACTACTCTGGTGCAAGCAACAGTAAATTTTTACTTTCTATTGCAATAATTGGGTAGAAAGGTTGATAGATAAGACAGTAGATGAGCAGTGGGGAACTTTCAAGCCAAGATAAAGCTGTACAAATAGGCAACTATTGACAATTAATAAACTGCTAAAACTTGGGTTCTTTGGATGAGTAGAGAAATTAAAATAAAATTTAAAAGAGAAGCTACAATAAATGTAAAGCTAATAATACAAAAGTACATAAATCCTTAAAGATGGGAAGTCAGGTGGACAAAGCTGTCAAAAAAGTAAATGGAATCTTAGGTTTTCTAAATAGGGGTATAATAATAATACTTGCATTTGATATAGCACCTTATCAAGTCATCGAGACGTCTCAAAACGCTTCACAAAATGTACTGTAAAGTGAATTGACTGTATATTTTGTGGGCGAAACGTGCAGAATATGAAGGCAAAAAGGTAATTGCCTTTATAACTTATATAAATCCTCAGTTAGACCGTAGTAACTGGCTGTATGCGATTTAGAGAAGTAACCCTGTGGTGCAAGGAAAGACTCCTTTGACAGCATGAGTGACAAATCCTAGGTACACATTTATGCAGACTTCTTTTTAGGATAATCATGATTAATTAACTGAACTCTGATATTGTTTATCCATAATAATATTATTGTTTATCCACCATTGGATTTGGTTTATTTTGGAAGAAACGTTATCATTCAGTAACATTTCTTGTTCACTTTAATCCACCTGCGATGTATCTGTTGTATTCTTTTCTAAGATGATGAAAAATAGTGTCCTAAGCAGAGCACATTTGTAATTTGACTGTGCCATTATTTGTTGTACTCCAGTGAATTAATATGGATTGTTACTTGGGGTGGTTGATGGGACAACTGGTTACTGCACTTTGAGACCAATTTGTGGAGGGGTGGAGGAGCTCTGTGCCCTGAAACTTCCCGTCAAGCTTCTGAGTTGAGGCACTTCCCCTGTCATTTGAACAAATCTTTAGCAAATTCTTCCTTCCCCCTCTCTCCCCCCTGAAGATCCATGTACTGTTACCCTCAATGATCCTGAGTGACACGGTAGTATTCATTGGATTTGTGTCTTCATGTGAAAAACCCCCCTGAAAAAATAGGTTGACAAATGCTCCTTAATGAAGACTTTACCTTTCAAAAAGATGCTTATAATTAGGTTGTGCACCACCGTATTGCTTGGTACTTGGGGAAAGAGAAACCTTTCAATTTCCTGGGGAACTAAAAATGACTTGGTATAGAGTAACAGCTTGATGCATTGCTCCAGGTATATCAGTGTGCAGTGGAAAGGGATGCTGCAACTAAATATGAACGTGCTTTAAAGTCCTTGAAACCTAACCTAAGTTTTTGAATACGTTTACCACCTTCATATCAGAACTTTTCCCTGGAGTGGGGGAGGTGTGAGCGTGCGCTGGAGAGGGGCTGATGACGTGCCTCCCAACAGTCGCACAAGTGCTCTGGGACGCTACTCTGCATATAAATCCAAGTTGTTGTTGTTGCCAGTTTTGCGGAGCTGTCCTGGAGGGGACGTTCCCCTGAGGGCCAGTTCCCGCCACAACTAAACCCCATCTCTATCTTTCTTCACTGCAACCCCAAATTTCATTGCTTTGTACGGAGTTTAAACATTTAAAATTGTTTTTAAGAGAGTCCATGATCATTGCATCTTTTATGCATCATTGTTTCATTTTTTTAGTATCTGCACTACCCAACAAAAGATCGTTTAGGCGGTACTTTACAATTTACATTTATATAAGCCCTTTTATGTCAGGAAGATGTGACGAAAAAGTGCTTCACAGTGCTGGATGGGCCCCCAAGCTGAGTGGGGAGGGAAAAGATGACCAAAAGTATGATCGAAGATGTGTGTTCTTGAGATGACATTGAAAGAGGGAGAGATGGAGGGACTCCGGGATGGAATATTGCATACTGTTGACAAAAAGCCTTTTGTGTGACTTGGCGCTTCAGTAATATTAAGCCACTAACACCCAATATCTGAGTATTGCACACTCTCCTGTGCTCTGGTTAGTTTGATTAGCTGCAGCAAATATTGTTAGGCTTCCTGTTTCTAATTTATTGCTGGAAGTCCATGGAACTGTATTGTTTTAAATCCAACAGTACAACCAGAGCCTAAATGCTTCGCAAATTCACCTTCTTCAAATACTTTTATTTAATCTTTAAATAAGATAGCATTCTGGTAAAAGGATAAACTAATGTTCAGTACAGTCTTATGAGACTGAAGTTATAAGATTTGTTGCTTTACTTCCAGATAGTAAAAGATGTTCTTTGATTGTACAATTTAACTTTGATTTGGAGTGCTTGACTCTTACTGCTATGTACTGTATTAATTTTGAAAATTAACCCTTTGCTGTGTAAGCATAGCATACATCGTATAGTGTCTCATTTGAAAACATCTGATATGTTACACCAAGCTTCTGCAACATGAACACCATTTCCTAGTAGCCAGGATTAGTATATAGGCTTAATTTCAAGATGTATTTATATCTTATATATTATTGTCTAAAATGTTCATTTGGTTACTTACACCGTGCTGAGACTACAGTCCCCAGAAGGATTTTGTAATCGTAATCCTTGTATTTGATATTATACTTTTCACATCGGAAGAACGCTCAAAACAAATTCACAGGATTTACTGTTAAAATGTCCCGCTGTCTACTATCCACATTTGTCCAACTCTGTGAGATGTTGTGCTAAAGACACTAAGTAAATGCAAGTTTATTGCCGTGGTCTTTGTGGGGTGTTTTGAATTGACTGTGCTATGAAGGCAATACTCCCTAGTCTCAATAGATCCAGAAGAAGGAAACAAAGCAGCCAAGTTTACTGGACAACGTGTGATCGTTATCAAGTCACTGCTGCAATAAAAATACACTTGAGAACTCTCTCTCTCTCTCTTTCTCTCCCTCCCTCCCTCCCTCCCCCGAACTTCTGACACCCACAATCCCCGCCTGAGCTGCCCTATTGTGCCCCTGCTCTCTGAAACACCTTCCAGGAATTTATTCACCCTGTCCTCTCCCTGTTTTCACAACCACCTTAACATCCAAGCCCTGCTGTGCTTTCAGCTATTTCTTCCTTATTCTCAACCGCCCCCAAACCCCACCCCCCCCCCCCCCCCCCTCCCACCCCAGCTTGAACACAGAGGAAGTGGGGTGAAGTGCTGGTGGTGATCTCCCGATGTGAAAGGTGCTAGCTATACAAATGTAATTTATCATTGTTGCTGCATCTATTAAGCAGAGAATAATACCTCAAACATCTGTCATTCTTTGTAACACTGGTTGGAGAAGCCTTGGATATAGAGCAAGGATTTTGTGACCTTCCATTCCATAGCGAGCTTGGAGTTCTTCTCTGGTAATCTTAGAATGGAACTAGTGAATTGTAGACCTTGCTCTCCATTCACAATCAAGCTGAAGGGTGATGTACATCTGTAAAACTGAGAACCGAACATTGTATTCATATTTTAAGAAACTGAATAATTTTCCTTCTGATTGTTGATGTGTACCTTTTAAAAAAAAATCTTTAGAGAATTTTTATTTTTAAAAATGTGCATATTGTCATTGCTGTGGCTTAATCTCCAAGGTTTCCCATTATGTATCTTTCTTTCAAAAGGAAATGTGCTGAAAAGCAAGTGTTCCAAAGAAATGCTACATTCCTGTTTAATGTGCTCATCTCTGATGAATTGCCTCAGTTTGCCATGTAATGGATGTGGAATTTGGTTGCAGATTCTCCAAATTCTTTATTTGCAAATTAAGGTACTGAGTCCATTATAAATCTCCATACAAAGACAATCTCTGAGACTCATTCATCAGCACACACAAACGAAATCCATTAGTAGAGAAGCTTTTAAGGCATGGTATATTTTAATTTCTCACAGATTAGACTTCATAATAAAGCAGGCACTTGCAGAAATGTGCATATTGAAAACAGTACACTACAATGAAAAATATAAAATAACAGTTTACCAGATTACCAGCAATCCCTACTAAATGTGGGAAAAATGCCAGTTTCAGAACTGCTTCTTAATTATATTTGAAAATAATCATGTCAAGATGGGATTATGATCTAAATTGTCAAATAGGTTAACCTAGAAGATCACACAATAGCACCATGGTAGGTGATATCCTTACATCATCTGATCAGATCCCCCACAAAGAATCATTCATAAAATTTGCTGATGATGCCCAGCCAAGTGGCCAACTGGAGTCCTGTAGTGTATTGGTTAGACACTCTCCTCCCAAGTGGGTGGACCTAGGTTCAATTCCTGGCAGGACGAAACGTTAAGCAAGCAACAGGTAGAATAAAACTATTTCTATTCTAAAAATGTCACAAATGTGATCTGATCTAAAACTTCTATTTACCAAATCAATAATGTTACACTGGATTAAATTACCCATTTGTGTAGATATATATCACCAGTCCTGTGATGTGCACTTATTTGAACTGTGACATAAGGTATTCTAACTAAGCATTCTAACCAATCTTTCACAAGAGCAGTCGAGTGAATGGAGGAGGAAATATCTAGCCCAACCTTCAAGATTAGAATCAAAGCCAGAAGGTATAAAATGGTAACTCACTGCATCACCGCCCAATCCCTCAGCTTTATTCAAAGAAGGAGAATATCTAATTTGGAATAAGAATGGCCAATCAAGCCCACTCCTTGCATAGACTTTGCAAAGTTCTGCTGAGATGATCCCTCTCCATCAAGCTGATCCAGCTACAAATTCAGAAGATTGTACATGTTCTCAAAAGTATCCCTTCCCTCTTTCTGCTCTTCGTAGTGAGGGATATCCATATTAGGTCGCTCAACTTTTTTTATCCAAGACCATAGACTGCTTCAAGGTCAGATGTTGCAAGACAAACTTCCGCCCACAAATACACTTTACAATATATTCTGAAGCGCTTTGAGATGTCTTGACGACATAATAAGCCATTATAATCAAATGCAAGGATTGTTATTATTATTATTACTTGTCATTTCCAGAAATAAGACTCAACAATTGAATGCGCTTACATGTGGGTTTTTGCTGTGGATTCATGCCATTTGAGAATTGCTTGGAGACTTTGCAAACTTAATTAGTTTTGGACACTCAGCCCTGCTCTGTCTTAGAAGAGAAAATGTTCTAACCCCTTGTGCTACCCAGTGCTTCAGAGGGAATGTTTGGAATTGCATTATGTTCAGAAGTTTAATTGGAAAACATTTGGGGTTGTTTTGCTATCTCTTCCTCACTTCTATTGACCAAGAGATTTCAATTTCTGCTAAAACTTAAATAAGCAACTATGCACCAGCCAAGGCCAGTCTATTTTTATTTCTTCTCGTGTGAATTTTGCAACAGTTTTATTTTTGGAGGAGCATTTATCTGATGAAATAGGAAATCATTTGTAAATCAGAAATATTTCCACTGTACAAAAAAAGTTCTGAATCTTATCACATTAATAGTTGTACTATGACGATTGGTGCATATCTCCATGCCAACATTAGTAAACGAACCTCTGGAAGTCTCTCTCCATCTCATCCCCTTCTTTCAAAAGCCACTGAAAACTTACTCCTTTAACCAGCTGTACACCCACTTCCTCCTTCCTTTTTTTTGGTTAGCCGGATGTATGACACTTGAGGAAACACATCACCATGCTTAAGAGTGTCCAAATCAAGCTGAAATTTCCATGCATCCCACCTACACATGGAATTCCCAGAGATAGATTGTTGGAATGGAATCCGCATTCTCTCCCTGGAGGGATGCATCCTGCCGAAACACTGATAGTCCAGCGCCTTGGGACGTCCTCCCGACGTGAAAGGACTCCACAAATGTAACTTTGTTGTTGTTGCTTACCTAATTCCAGAACGTATTTGGCACAGGTTGGCAAGAGCCAAGGCTTGGGGACCCCAGAGTGTGCGTTGGGATACTGCTGGAGTCTAACCAGCTAAAACCACATAGCTTGCCATTGATATTGCTGTCTGACAAGCTTACCCGTTGCTGGTTCAGCTAGGACCACCCTACCCATTAGGGCTTTGGCTTACAGGGTTAACAGGAGCTGAGTGGGAACGATTCCCTTCCCCCAGTAACTAATCTGCCCTTCCTGGTCCTGCAGATGAGCCAGGCTGGCTGTGCTGTCAACAGCAGTGCCCTGGAATACTGTGGTCTTGCCTGGCTCAGGAACCAGAATACTGAGATGGCCACAGAGGGTTGGCTTCATTCCGATATTCCATTGCCCGGCACGTCACCTTGGTACTAGTTCAGCTCCAAGGAGACCCCGCTTAACCTCCTCCCTACCTGTGTGGCACCGTTTCTTTAAAATGCTCCAAGGCGTTACTTCACATGGATGCAATACAAATGCGAGTTGTACTTTTGATGACTTTATCATTGTTAAAACCTAATGGTGTGAAATATTTCAAACTAACTGTCAATTATATATATTTTTTCAAATGATTAAATTATTTTCTTTCAGACCTGCAGTAAAAGCAAACAAAAGTCGTGCATAAAGCAAAAAAAAGTTGATCATCTTTAAGCTAACTTATGCTCCAGTGATGGTGGAAGTTACTCTGCAACCAGTTTGTGTCTGCAGTTGTAAAGATGGAAGATTTCCCGAAATAGCTGAGGCGGACACGACAATCATTTGGAATCTCTTGTACAAAGAAAGGTGTGTGGTGGCACAGCTTATCCCCAAGCGACAAGACCATCAGGGTAACCAGTTGGATAGAGGAGTGGTAAGTTCAACTTGTTGGGTGATCTGTTAACTGTGTGAGATATTGTACATCATGCCCCAATGTTGTAATGTTTAATCTGAAACCGATGTTCTGTCCTGTGTGTCTTAAGTTGCTTTCAGAAAGACTTGGGAACCTGATATTCCAAATTAGTCCTATGGTTGGCAAGAATATTTTATGTTATGTTTTCTACAAAAAAATCCTGAAATAATGCTTTAATTTCATGTAGTGATGTGAGATTTCTGTATACAATCCATTAGAATCTTGTTTTTGGTGCTGTTATTTGACTTTTATTTGTTTAATACTGTACTTTCTGTTTCTAACTTGGTGATTTTTAAAGCCTTAATAAAAGTTCAGAAGTGGCTGGATTTGTGGCTCATGTTTAGGAACCGAATTCTGTGCCTGAGTCATTCATGGAGGGAAGTGGCTGATTAACTTGCATATGGCTTTAAGATTCTGATGTTGACTGGATAAAACTGATAATAATAATCCTTGAATTTGATATAGCGCTTTTCATGTCTTCTAGAGATCTCAAAGTGCTTCATTGAATATACTGTAAAGTAAATTGACTGCATTTTTATGGGCGAAAAGTGGCAGCCAATTGTGCACAGCAATGTCCCACAAACAGTCGTGGATTGAAGTGACCAAATTATTATTGTTTTTTTTTCTTAAGAGATTATTATCAGGCGTGTGGAGTAAGGAAAATTGCCCAAGGTTTCGTCCTGACGGGAATCAAACCCAGGTCTCTCGCTTGTGAGGCGAGTGCTCTAATCACTGAGCTACAGGACTTAACCACTAAATCTTGAAAAAGAGAGAAAATGGTCTGGTGGACAAACTTAAAATTATCAATGCCAATGGAGGCGATGTATGTTAAAAGCATAAATCAGTATTTATTTTGAAAATAGGTTTAATTCTGCTGCACACACAGTAGATTCCAGCTGATGTGCAGTGATGCAACACAGTCTCCATTTGATAAGTAGTTAAAACCCAACTATGAAGATGTTTTGCTTTTGGAGAAAAAATGTGAATTTTGCTGCCGCACACTGTAAATGGACTGACCGTATTTTGTGTGCGAAATTAGTGAAATTATCTTTCCTGGATTCCCACCTTACTGTCTTATCACAACAAGAAGCTTTTTTTAAATGAGTGCAGTGTCTTGGCCAAAACTACGCTTCCTATCAACCTTTTCCAGCACTTTGGGCCATCCTCCCGACGTGAAAGGCGCTCTATAGATGTAATTTTGTTGTTGTTTTCCAATTGCTAATTACCCTCTGTAAAGAAAAACTTCCTATCTATCCTGAAATTGCCCTTTGCAATTCTAAAACCTATATCCTCTGGTTCTGCTGTCTTCAAAATTGTTTTGAGTTTAAACTTTCATACACCTATATTCGGTCCCCAATGAGACATCTTCTGTCAAGACTGAAGAACCCAGTTTGCCTAACTGTTGCTCATTCCTGAGGATCAATTTTTTTTAAAGTTACGTTAGCTTTTGTTTTAATTTTTACATGCAATACGTTTCTAAAATATTAATGGGATTTCTCTAAAGCATCCTAAATATTTTTCAATAATTTGGATCATGGTAGAAACCGGAAACGCTTTGAATTACAATGCAGTGTAAAATATATATTTTTAAGAATTTGCACAAATCACAATGAAACAAATTGAATGTTTTGTAGTCCAAGTAAATGATATGTGCTAGGAGTTCATGTTTTTAACTGATAGTTGGCAACCTTCTCTTTTGGAATTGGATGAGTCTTTAAAAGGCATAATAAAGGTTCTACAATACTGTGTTGCATAATAAGCACATTTTCTTTCCAGTTTAAATCTTGAAGTGGCAGTAATTAATTTGCTCCTTTGCCGAATTGTGCAAAAGTGCCACATTTTCACTGTTGTGAAGACATTCAACAATGTAAGGCTATAAAGTCTGTTGGAGGAAATCAACTCAAACCAAATGTCTTGCTTTTTTAACCTCAAAGGGATGTTACTGGCTCTCTTCATTTGCAAATAATATTTCTTTTTCTGGTACACTTGTCCATAGTTGGAAGGCATTCTTGCTGTTTTAATGACTGATTAAACCAGTTAATTAAATCTTTGTCCACATGTTTATTTTTCGAAACTCTTGGCAATTACAAAAAAATCCCAACTTAAAATCGTTGCACATTAAAAATATAAATTAGCGCTTTTGTTTAACGAGTGGTTGGAATTTGACGGCACTTAAAGTGGGCCACACCCTATTGGTAAATAACCCTGTTAAGAGGGAGTCAAGAGCATATTCGCTGATTGATGGTTTCTGTAGCTTCATATAGAATATAAGGCAGCAGGATGAGATTCAGGGTTGCAAAAGGCAGTTTTTGGATTCATGCCACAAAATATTTATTTTCACAGATGGTAGTCTACAAGAGTTGGGTTGGCAGAAGTAAAGATACTGGACTTGTGTGAGAAATAGCTGGATGGGAAAACGAGGGTTGGATTTGACTTGATTTCACTTCAGATCCTGTGGTGATTCACAGTTTCAGTTGGAGAGAGCACTGATTCCATGGGTGAGGAGAGTAGACTTAGTGGTTTGATGCTGGTAACTTGCCATTTGCTTCTTTAAGACGTCTGGGTCAACCCGGGACAGTTGGAACAAATTGCTGTATTTGCTGTTTGTTTCACTTTAAGCCAAAAATGCACCCTTTTCAGTTTAAATTGCTTTTCCAGATTCTGCAAACTGATCTAATTTCACACACATTGCAACTCCTGTGAAAGGAATAAAGGGAAAAGCATCCAGCAATCAGTGCTTTCATTTTCAGACCGAATAAAAATGCAGCCCACTTTAACGCACTTCATTATAGTGTGAATTTGTGGAAAATGCTGTTGCTCAGTGGACTTTGTTCATTGTGCATGTTTGTAGTTTCCTGCTTGCTGACTGGCTTTTCATGCTAAAATGGCAGACTTCTGGTTCATTAAGTTGATGTCACTTCCTTCTTTGCTGTGCGTGCGCAGCACAGGAAGTGATGTTGGTGGAAACCGAATGACCCAGAATTCAGTCATTTTTGTTTCCTGTGCTTAAAAACAAGGTTGACTTCAGGATTAGCTTTACACATGCACAGAAAACGGTTAGCAAGTTGCGTGAATTGGTATTGTGCCTCATTATAATATTGTGCATGTGGGATGGCATTTTCTGGATCATAATAATAATAATCCTTGCATTTGATATATAACATCATCTTACAATGGGGCTGTACTTTATATATGAATACAAAAAGGACAATCGCGGCACAAAGCCAGTTCACATATACTGTATGTTGAACTTGACTCATTTGATTTAATCTTACAAGAATCCACATCAAAGTCACTCCCTCTTTCCTTGCACAAAGAAAAATGTAAGCAATATCCTATCAAACGTGACTTCCTTGACTATAATATATATATAACTTGCAATAATAATAATCCTTGCATTTGATATAGTGCCTTATTATGTCTTCGAGATGACTCAAAGTGCTTCACAGAATATACTGAATATATTAAGTGAGCAGGGAATAAAACATTTAAAGTACTGTGTTTTAAGGCTGTTTTGAGGTAGGAAGCGAGGTAGCAATGAGATGTGGCATTGAAGAGACCTATAGAGGCAGCAGTATGGTGGCTGAAGACTCGGGCACCAATTGTGGAATGAGGGGAGCAAGCAATCGAAAACAATCTGGAAAATGGAGAGTCCTAGTAGCAATGTTGAGCTGAAGAAGGTTGTAAAGGTAGTGTGGGTGAGACAATGGAAGAAATGATCAGCACAGCCTTGATCTTCTAAAATACTGGGAGCCAGTGGAGCTTGGTAATGATGGGGTTCGTGCTTATGCATGGGAAAATCTCAGGCTGTAGTTCTGGATCAGTTAAAGCTTTGGAAAGTGGAGCTGGAAGGCTGACAAGTTAGAAAATATCTTCTTGAGGTGATGAAGCATGAATTTGGGTTTCGGCAGTTGTATGGTCGAGGTAAGGGAATAACAGCAATGTTTTAGAAGTGGAAGAAGGCAATCTTATTAATGGACCAAATGCCACAGAGAGATTAAATCATACACAAGCTAAAAATAAATAACTGCCCAGAACAAATACATTAAGTGTCCCTGAAAGAAATATTATAAAAGTGTTCGTAACTGGGTTATTCAAGTTAGCCTGGGAGTTATTGTTCTCTAGTTGAGAACTCCCATCAGTCAACTGAAGATGATTGAAAAATTGTCTCTTAAATCTGTTGTGTTTTTGATCTATGATCCAATATCCAGCGCTTGAGATATCCTTTAAGGTCATTGAAACGTGAACGGCGCTTTACAAATATAATTTTGTTGTTGTTGATCAAAATCAACATTCTCTTGTGAATGTCAGCTGTACGTTGCATTTAAAAAACAAACATTGCATGCTTTAATATAGTTTATTCTGAAACTCGGAACCGTAGGTGGAAATCATGGAGAGTGCTTATCGGTAGATCCCAGACTATTATCTACGGGGAGAGAGGGTGTCATTTTATTAGCAGTGCTCTGAGACTCCAAAGGGTGTTATATAAATCAAGTTGTGGTTGGTATTAACCCATTATATTTATTGAACCACTTTCAAGTTCCTTTGTGGGCAGGGTTTCGCTCACAAATATAGTCAATTCACATTGCAGTGTATTCTGTGAAGCGCTTTGAGACGTCTAGAAGACATGTAAGGCGCTGTATCAAATGTAAGGGTTATAGTATTATAAACAGAGCTGCAGTACCTTCCCTGCTCCTCTTTTATTCCCTTAATTCCAGGAAATGGTGTACAGTATTACAAATTCCTAAGGCTGTATAATTGGGTCTGGAACTTTTCCAGTTTTCATTTGCTCTTTTGCTGTCTTACATAAAGATCGTTTCTGGTTTTGACCTAAATTAAGTCGTTGCATTGATCAGTGGATCAAAAATGTTAAGTGAAACACAAATATTCGCCTATATTACAAGTTTTATTAGCAGTTCGGACTATATGTAGTGGATGTTCTTAATTTGATGATGAACTTT